GCACGTTTCTCAAGTCTGTTCCCTGATGGATTTGCAGGTTTAACCTGATTAATTCAGGACGTGTGCAGCTGGAATTCAGCTGGATCTCAGAAGATAACTCAAGGGCAGTCAGCTTTGCAATGCCAGAAAACCAAGGTAAATGCAAGGACAGGTAAAACCCAGGACCTGACCTGAGTTGCCAGTTGGAGAAGAGCCTTGTTCATGGCGAGGCCAGTACTGCTCAGAGGGCCTCCTAAGTAGCTACGGAAAAGCAGAGCGGAGGCCCCGTGCAGTCTGCAGAGCTAAATGGGCCTAAGAGACTCTAGAGCTGGCCTCTACCCTCCAGGAGCCCAGACCCTGGGCACCCTGCTAGGCCAATGCCCCATCTCGCTGACCACTAGGAATCTTGAATATAAGATTTTAACCTTCGGGGAGATTATAGACCCCTTGGAGAAACTGATGAAAACTATGAACCACTTTCCTGGGAAAATACACGCCCATGCCCAAGTTTGCATTTCATACATGTGAAGCACCAGAAAAAGGCACAACACTTGGTGGGCAAATAATTGTTATTATTATTTCAGTTTTAGAGATTCACTGACCTTTCAAATGGGCCCCTATCCATGGGCCCCCAGATTGTAAACTCCTACTTCAGAACAAATGATTTTCCAAAAATTACGTTCACAGCCCATTATTCTAGAGAAGAAGATCCATAGACACTTTCTTAAGCTACCCCCTTGAGCCAAAAGGAAGCAAGTTTGAAAACTATGGAATTAATAGAAATGTTTTTCGTGTCTTGTGAAATGTGAGCCAATTCCTTACCTCTAGTGCCCAAGATTAAGTACACCTGCTACAAAAGTGAGCTCCAGATACCACAGAGGGTCCCTAAGCACCTGTGAGTGGGCTGCTTTCCACGTGCTCTCACTGCAAATTCGGACTGTCGCCCACTCTGTCTGCCCCCAGGTTCAGCTCAGAAAGATCAGCTTAGTCAGGGCACGCCGCACACAGGCAGCACCCTGGACAGCGCCATGGACCACTGCGCCGAGGGCTCCCCGCCAACCTTCTCTGTGGAGCCCTCCTCAGGCATCGTACCTGCGGGGAAGACGCAGAAGCTCAAAGTGAAGTTCTCCCCGTTGGATGTTGGAGACTTTGAGAGCACCCTTTTCTGCCAGTAAGGAAACCTGCTCTCCAAAACCCCATCTTTGCAGGCACAAAACTCTGCAGCTCCGATCCCCATTCTATCCAACGACTGCCCCCATTCTTTCCAACCCTAGACCCCACTACAGATTGTCACTCTTCCCTTTGGAAAGATGGACAGAGACCAGGCTTTGGAGAACAAGCCTGGTCCCTGGTCATTCTTTGTCCTGTTCATCAACCCTTTCCAGATGCCCAGATGCTTCTCCCTACCTACTTCCCCCTTAGCCACATATAGGATGCCACTAACCAACAGATGGTGACAGCCAGATGGGTTCCCCAATCCTTGGGCAAGCATGATCTTGGGCAATCTTTCTTGTACCTTCTCTGCGACTTAGTTTCCTCATATGTAAAATGCAAATAATGATAGCCACCTTGCAGAATTGTTGGGAAGATTAAAAGAGTTAATTCACATAAAGAGCCTGGCACATAGTTACCATTAGGTGGTGGTGGAGGTGGTGGAGTTCGTGGATCTGACACATAGCAGTAAGAGAAAAGCTAATCCAATGACAACTGACAGTGAAAGTCCCTAATGTGGTACCCACACCCAGGAAAGCTCGAAGGAGAGCACACGCCTCAGAGAGGAATCCTGTGAACCGTGGCCTAGGGTGGCAGAGACCTATGTGAGCTGTCAGAGCCTCCTTGAACCCCGCAGTCACACCACGGAGACCCACCCCCACCCCTAGGCCACCTCAGCTTGGCCCTGGGACTTATGCTCATATCCAGTTCACCTTCCCAAGGAGCTCACTCAGGATACTTTTTTGGGGATTTCTAGGTCACTTTTCATATCCCACTAAATGCCTACGAGAGGGCCCAGAGGGTAAGACCGAGCTTCCGTCACAGCAGGGAGATTTTTCTCACCACTGAGAGAGGAAATAACTTGCGACCATCCTAAGGATGTTAGGTACACAGAAGGAGCCTAATTCAGACTCCTCGTGCTCAGCGCATCCATGCACTCAGGACACCGAGGTAATGTCATTGACCAAGACAGACCCAGCCTCTGTTCCCATGGAGCTGACGTGCTTGTGGATGTAATATTCATTTCCAACCAAAAGAACAACAACTGATTACAAAATAAAATAGAAATAAAAGTAATCTTATCCTCTCAGGATTCCAAACCTGCCACCTGGAGAGCAAGGTCCGGTCCTGGTAGCAAAAGGGCGAAGCTCCTTGCCCATCTGCCATTTTGACCTGAAGGACTCAGACTACATCAGCGGTCATCAGCACAACCTAGAGCTCCGAGAGTCTGGTAGTGGCGCTCTGGATCCAAACACCAGGGTGATCGAGTTCACCAGTGTGGGCGTAGGAGGGAAGAATCTCCAGTGAGTTCCTTACATTTGCATTGGTTTGATTCGTATCAGTCAATCCTTCTAAAGAACTCAGAAGAATTCAGAGAAATGAGCTAAACTGACTCCCAGAAGCAGGCTTGATATCCTGGGGTTTGACCTGAGTTTTAGAGATTTGACTTTAGAGAACTGTTACACTAAGGAAGCTGAATTCTGCCTTCTTAGTTTTGACACTGGGGAAAATTTGAAAGACCTCCACCTTGACCACATAGGATCCTTAGGACAGATGTGGTCTTAGCAGCATTGTTACTCCAAAATCCAGAACCCTACCCATGCTTTGCATCCCTGGATGAGATGGAGTTTTCGTTTCTATCGTAACGAAGTGCTCAGAACAGTTTTGCTTTCCAGGTGGGGGGCTGCATTAGGGCCAGGTTCTAAGAAAGTTCTCTTAATCCTAAATCCCTGCTCTCACTCTCCATTGTCAATTCTTCCCCCTTGGCCAGGACCTTTACAATCCTGAACCCGACCAATAGCACCTACTCCTTCTCCTGGATCTCTGAAGAAATCGAAAGTCTCCAGAACCCTCCAGCCTTCACATGCCTTACAGAGAAGGGCTTCATCCACCCTGACAAGAAAGCTGAGGTGTGTGCACATGAGGACCACGCAACAACCCAAGGCTTAGGTCCTTCTCACCATCTCTGCACAGCAAGTGTGCTATAGACAGTAGGTGGAATTAGAAAGAACACCCTGCCTAAGGGTGTGTCAATCAACGAGTGTTTATTGAGTTGCTACCATATGTGTTGGGCCATCCTGATGAACAAGGCAGACCTGAGCTCTCCTGGCTGACCGTAGAGAAGCAGAGAGCTCTAGTATTTACAGTTTTTAAAAATTGAGGTTATTCAAGCAGCAAAAGATAGCTGGACATCAATGCCTGGGCACTCTAGGACTTATGCAGTAGCATGACATAAAGGGTTACCTTTGTCCAAGGGGCCGACAATAATGAAAGGACACTGATGTGTTTTTACTTGGGCAGGCCAAAGGGCAAAACAGAAAAGTGGAGTCATGCCCATGCTTAGTCCTAAATGTTTACACAGCAGTGTATGGCAAGGGGTCAGACTCAAAGAAATAGGAGCTTGTTCACCAAAACAGATCTGTGGACTCCACATCCAGTAAGTTCTACGGAGAATCTTGAAGGTGGAAATAAATCCATCAAATAAAAATTATGACCTCAAATGCCTTCAGAAAGGTCAAACAAATGAATAAAGCAGGCCAAGGGGACAATGACAGGGAGTGCTGGGCACCAGGGCCCACCGGCCACAGCATTTGTCTGGCAAATGACCACCCCACAGACAAGGGGGTCCAGGGTGGCCAACTCTCCCGAACTTTTCAGGAGAAGCGAAAATTCCAAATTTCTATGTGAATTGCCATATTTTACATATTGGTAGCCAGTTCAATATTTTTTAACACTTCCCAACCAAACTAAACATATCTGTAGACTTTCCACCTGATTTCAACCTCTGTGTATCATCAGTGCCCAGCCATGTAGTTAAATGTGGCCGGATCCAGGAGCTGGGTCCACCACAGACAGAGTGCCGCATGGATGTGGCCCCGTTACAGCCCAGAAATGTGTCACAGATGAGCCCAATTTCTAGAGAGGCAAGTTTCAGAATCCATCATCTGGGGTCATGCTGGTCTTTGGGTGACAGGAGTGTCACTGAGATGACGTATCTCCAGAACACCTCCCCTGCACCACCCTGGCATTGGCATGGTCCATACATATTAACCTGTCTAGTTCCTTTCTGGCCAAATGCCACTGTTCTTCCACTCAGTCCTAACCGATTGATCACAGAGACTCACTCAAGTTAGTTAAATAAAGAAAAGAAAAGAAAAAGTAAGGGCCTGGGGCACCTTTTGAGATTGGATCTTCCTTCCAGGACTCTGCTTGTTTCTACCCATTATCTCTACACCAACCAATTTCACCATCTATTTATTTTCCAGTTGCTCTGTAACTTCCCTGAGCAGATGGGTACTGGCCTGTTGTGGCCAACACACCCTCGTGGTTTCCCTCACTGTTGGCTCCACTGCCAACTGGCACAGCCACTCACTTTCTAATCCCAAACTTGGGAGAGAGAAATCTGGTTGGCCCACTAATCATGTTGTGTTGGACTGTGTACCAAGCTGTTGACAAGCAAGTGGATTGTCTGTCTTTGGGACAGGTGCCAACTCTTTGGTCCAGTCAGCTATGGTACAACCATGCCATCCAAAGACATGGCATAAAATACGACAACTTAGCCAGCAGAGGTTGCGGGTAGGGTAGGCTCCCTTTGTAGGACGTGCGGCCAGGGCAGACAGACATTGATGTTGCCGGTACAGCTGCACCTACCTTCCCTTACAGGGACTGTAGAAAGGTAACAATAACCTAGTAATGTCAATCACCATGATCCTGGTGCCGACAAGTCTCCAAGGGCACATAGAGTAAGCAAACACAAGCACCCATCGCCACTCTGTTCCAAATTGTTTTCTTAGATTGTGTTCCAGTTCACGCCTTCCCGTCTGGACATCACAGAAGCATTATGGACTTTCCTAATCCCTGAACACAACATCACGGTCCCTTTCCTGCTGGTAGGCAAAACCACCGACCCGCTCATCTCTCTGGACAAGTCACACCTCAACTTCAGTTCCCTGCTCATTGGTAAGGCTGCCCTGTCTGTTTATATTTAGTCTTGGCAGGATCTGGGCCAGGTCATTAGAAGCTCCGGGAGCAGCCCGGGGTGAGAAACTTCCCAGGTGCCTTCCAGAAGCAGCATGTCAGAGGGCCCCAGTCATTTTCAGAAAGCCACAAAGTATTTACCTCTCAATCTCATTTAGATCAAGTGGAATCCATCTTTTAAACCTGCACACCAGTAGCTCAAGGAAATGTGGGAGCCCTGTTAAAGAACCTCCTTGGCAGATGCCCGTAGGGCCTGGATTGACTCTTGGTTTCCAGAGCCTCAGGTCTGCCCCATCCTGCCGGCATGTGCCCCAGATTACAGGCTGTAATTGTCTGCTTCCTGGTCTGTGCCGCAGTGGCCAGATTTCTCTCGCATCTGTTCATGATTGATTTGGTTCAACCGTCCTTTATAACCCTATGAAGCTTTCCTACACCTGTGATATCTGTGTGTGTGTGTGTGTGTGTGTGTGTGTGTGTGTGTGTGTATAGAATACAACTAAAGCCAGATGATTCTTTTAATAATTCATTACATTTTGATTTATAAAATAATATTCTTTATAGTATTTTAAGTCAACCAACATGGTATCGTATGAGAAAAAATTAATCTCTCCCTATCCATCCTAACTCAGCCTTCCCTTTCCATCAAAGGAAACCAATGTTAACAGCTGGGTGTGTATTTTACTGATGCTCATAAGTAGGTGGGAGGGGAGATTATGGCATTTATTGAGGGTTTGAACAAATAAATGAACAATATAGCATAAGAATAATAACAGCAAGAGAAAGTTTAATCCAGGCATGCAAGGGTGGCACACTTCAATATAATCATTGTGTCAATAGATGAAAGAAGAACAACCATGCGATCATATTAATATATACTGAAAAGGCATTCCCCATAAAAACCCTAATAGCAAAATAGACATTGATGGAAAAACTTAAAGAAGATTAACCGAAATCAAGAGGCAAATATTACCCTGTAATAAACCACTAAAACTGCTACAATTAAAATGAGGACTTAGGCAAGGATATTCGTTATCACCCTTGTTGCCTGCTGGGCCACTTCAGCGAGCAGAGAGCAGGCGGAGGCCTCGCTGAGGGCTGCTGTTTCCTCGGCAGGCAGAGAGGCCAGGGAGCGCATGCAGCTCATCAACAAGGAGGAGCAGGGGTTCAGTTTTGCCTTCCAGGACAACTCCCGGTACTCGGAAGGTTTCGGCAACAGCCTGATCGTATGTCCCATGGAAGGCTGGATCCCGCCACTGTCCAGGTAAAGAGAAACGAAAGCCTCACCCTCCCAACGGGTCCCAGGCCTGCCAGCCAGAGAGCCGTTGCCCTTAGAGTGCCCCATTTCTAAAATCTCTTTCAACTCTAAGATTTGGATATTAACAATTCCATCTCTGTCCTACTTACTCTCTGGTGTTTATTTTCCTGGGGAATTATGGAGCATTGAGAAGTCTACACCCATGTTCTCAATATTTCCTTGTGTTTGTATTCTTTTCCTTGCTGTCTGCTGTGTGCGTAAATCCACAGAGCATTGCTCAGCTTTGCCTGGCGAATCTTAAAAACTCATCATAATTTGGAGTTATGGTTCCTTTTCCTCATAGTGAATCTGCTAATCCAGTGAGCTCATATTTTCTTGCAGAGTTTAATAAAACCTAGTCAGCTAACCTGCTGTCTTGTTCCCCAACCAGGATCCCAATTGATATTTTCTTCACACCAAAGCAGGAAGGAGACGTCAACTTTAACTTGATCTGCAATGTGAAAAAGAAAGTCCAGCCTCTGACATTAAATGTCAAGGCGGAGGGCTACAGTATGAATGTAGAGATCAAGTGCAAGGACAGGACTGGCTCCGTCACTCTCTTGACTCCCAACCAGACCAACATCATCAACTTCTATGAGGTGACGATGTGAGAGGGACTC